ATAGGAAGAGAAGCAAGACAAGTATCTTATGGCAGGGTCATAGTTGGACATTATGGCATAAAAAATAATAATCAATAAAATAAATTTAAATATTGTTAAAACGCACGTTATTCTAACATTAATTCAGGTTTTTCTCTACTTTCGTTAATATTTTATTACTTGAGACTTAAAAAAAAGTTTTTTTAGTGGCCATTTTACCGGCATTTATGTGGTATTGTTGAGCGATATTGAGTGAATAAACGTTGAGACTTTGCCAGTAAATACAATTTCTGTTTGTTCACCATCATTTTATCATCGTGAAACTGTCCAAGTGTCTGCATGTGTCTATAGCCGGATAGTCTCTTTCAGACACGCCGTAGGTAACATACACGCGCACACACACACACATACACACACACACACACACACACACACACACACACACACACACACACACACACACACACACGCGCGCGCGCGCGCGCGCGCACGCACACACACACACACACACAGCCTGTATGCAGATTTTTACGGGAGGGTGCAATCCAATGAGAAGAAGACAGAATGAGCGCCGTAGGCGCCAGTCTCTAGGGGTGTCCGGGGGCATGCCCCTCCGGAAAATTTTGAAAAATAGGTTGTCTGAGACCGCATTTCGCGCGTTTTGAAGGCAGTATGATATGAAAACAGGCAGCCAAAAGCGAACCTCAAAACGCGGACATTTCTCAAATTTTTGAACTTCAAAATGGATTTTTTTGGCAAACAGTCTACTTAAAGGCCTCCTTTAGTGATGAAAAATAGTTACATATATCAAATTAACTATGTTATGTACAACTACTAAGAAATTTACAGGTTGAATGGTTTACGGATGTATGAGAAAAACGCATTTTTTGATGGACACAATGTTAAGAATTTGCGGGAACGCAAAAGCGCCACCTACTTTGGCGCGTGACGTAGTGTGACGTGAGACCAGGCACTCTCGCTTGTTTACCTGTTGCCAAGCGTGTACATTTGAGCCTGTACAATGTACAATGTGAACACCTATTCAGAGTCGTCTCTAGACTAATATCAGTTTCGTACGATACGGATGAGCAGTCAATCAGAATTGATAAAGATGAAAATGAAGTAGAATTTATTTCCCAAGGCGTTATTTCGAAATCTGGCGCCACCGCCGCCATCTTTGTCTCGTTAAGTATGAATGCGAATGGACTCCCGTACCCGTAGCCTCGAGACATTAAGATACGGCTACCGTACCCGTAGCCACTGCCAAAATTATTACGTATACACTGTAAGCAGATTGGCATGAGCTGAGTAAAGCAGCATATGGTTGGAACCGATTTTATTGTCTGTGTTAATTTAATTGTTTTGTGTTGGTTTTATTTGGTGCTCAATTGCTCATAATAAATAATATGGCAGTTGGATGTTTATGCCGAATATGAGTCACGACATACTGCAAAAAAAATATTATAAGTTACAGCCGAGGATAGCTTTGTGCTCATGCATTGATGCAGGCTTTGTGTGCGGCGCAACGCGGGAAGAACCTGGTCTCACGTCACAGCCGTTTTCCCGCCAGGTGGCCGGTTTGGCAGAAGATTTGATTTTCAACATTCATAGACCCAACATAAAGACGTGTTTTAAATATCACAGAGGCAACTAAAAAACATACGAATGCTTTGGTTATTTACGGTATAATACTAGCATCAAATAATTGTAAAAATTAGACAGTTTATAGATATCACTAAAGGCGGCCTTTAATGTAACATGTATTTTACAATTTTAGAGAATAACAATGTCAATGTGACTATTTAAAAAGAAAAAAAATAGAAATAAATTAAGTTGTAAATCCGTATTATTTCACTTTCTTTTAAATCGTTGGTCCACAAAAAAGTGGACCGCCGCAGCCTGTGTGTGTGTGTGTGTGTGTGTGTGTGTGTGTGTGTGTGTGTGTGTGTGTGTGTGTGTGTGTGTGCCAGGCGCGTAGCCAGGGGGGGGCGGTGGGGGCGGTCGCCCCCAAAAACGCCGGCCAAAAAAAGAGAGAGAGAGAAGAGAAAAAAGTTAGAGGACGTAGGAAGAAAAGGAGCATACAAAGACACATGACAAAGACTGTGTTAAAAAGATTATAAAAGAAACAACAGATATCTTTTAATTATTTAAAAATATTTTGTGAAATGAGCTTTGAGCCCAGCGCAGTTCGCCTTTCATCCAGCTTGGCATAACATATCATGCGTACCTAGCAAGTTGCAAGTTGGTGTAGCTGCAGTAGTGAAGGATAAACCCCTCTTGCCGAATATTTCCATTGTGCCATGCACATGCTGAACCTTTGCGCCACCAAAACAACTCAAGTAGTTTCTATCAGGAATTGTTTAGACATTATCCAGCAAATGACATCCTTCTTCAACAGTTGTGCCAAAAGGGTTACCCATCTAGAAGCAAAAACTGCAAATGCAGGCATAGAGGAGAGTAAGCAACGAAGGCTGAAAACTCTTTGCCAGACGAGATTCCTAGAAAGACACGAGGCTGTTATAAACACCCTCTCTCTCTCTTGCCATATGTCATTCGGGTGGTGGAGAATATGGGATGGCAAATGCCAGAAGCGAGAAGAGACGCTGCAAGTCTTCTCAGAGCCATCGCTTCATTTGATTTCTTGGTGTCTCTCCACATCCTGGCGAAGGTAAGCGTCAAGAGGTATGCAGTCTGTCGGCCTAGATCTGTTAGAAGCTGTGACACTGGTGAAAGATGCCACAGATGTACTAATGTCATGGAGGAACGATGACACATTTGACAGTCTGTTTGCCAATGCTGAGAAGATGGCTAATGATTTGAATGTGACAATGGAGCGCCCTAGTACTGCATCCCGTAGTGTTTATCGTCCCAATGCCACTTCTGGAGTTCATGTTCAGAATTCAACGCAAGAGTACTACAAACTGAATGTCTTTCGCCCTCTCATCGACAATATTGTGGCACAATTACATGACCGCTTCAGTCCCACACAAAGAAAGATAATGCATTTGATGCATCTAGTTCTAGCCTACATCAGCGCCACCTATGAAGATGTGCTTCCTGCAGCTGAGATGTATGAGAGCATGATCGACATCAGCTGTCTTTGAAGGCGAGTTCGCTATATGTCCTATATGGCTAAAGAGATGGGGTAATACAGAAGCAGGGGAGAAGAAAGCTGTGAACACAGAGGTTCTTGCACTGGAAGAGTGTTCACAGATAACCCTACCCAACATCCACTTGCTCCTTCAGGTTTTGGCAACCCTGCCAGTTACAACAGCCCAGGCTGAACGAACTTTTTCAAAGTTGGAGAGAACAGCAACAGCAATACGAGCATCAATGGGGGAGGACAGGCTGGACGCTTTACTCCTTATTCAGACTTACAGAAAGGAAACACCTTCGAGCGATGAAGTTCTAGATAACTTCTGTTTGTCACAGAGGTCCAGACGGATTCTACTTTGAGCAGCTGAGGAGAACGTAGGAATTGCTAGCCAGTATGTAGATACAACCCCGCTGCCATACCAGAAATAAGTCATAATGTGGCAAATAACGACTAAAATATTTCCTGCTAGCAATTATAGAAATCTTATGATGAAATGCTGATTGTTTGGTGATTGGTTGATTTAAACGTCAATATATTTATCACATGCATGATGCTCATTTCTGAAAATATCCTAAAAAAAATCGAAATCTGGTTTAACAATAAATCCCATATTATTTTTGAAAATTCAGGATTAAGAGTCAAGAACGATACAACGAATCGTCTTCTTTCTCTAATAATTTAATGAAACCTCAAAGCTTGGAAACTCCCCCCTCCCTGCACCCACCCCCTATGGAGCGTACTCAGCGCGCTCCGCACGCTCTTTAAGTGATTCGCACACTTCACGTGCTCATTGCCGCCCCCCCCCTAAAATAAAATCCTAGCTACGCGCCTTGTGTATGCGTGGGTGTGGGTGGGGTGGGGGGGGGCGCACCCGTCGCACGTAACGTACCCACTAATCTCTGCTATACTAACGTAGTAACTATAGCCATAGGCCCCTACTAACTATATATAACGTTAGTATAGTAGAGATCAGTGGTCGCACCCCCTTCCTTACGACGGGCCTGGGAGGTATCAGAGCATATAATTCAACTAATTTATCACTGATGAACTGATTATCAACTGATAAATCAATTAAGGTGATTTATATGCTCTGGAAGTATGATAAGCACACTTGTTGTTGGCACTGGATTTTGACGTCAACCCTAAAGCACCGTACGAATTGTTTATTTAAGCGCTCGTTAGATGGCGCGCACGACAATGCAAATGGCCTCCCCCGTTGCGCGAATGTAGTTTCATAACTCCAAGGAACTGTGCCGAAGAATAAGTCAAGACCTCAAGGGTAATCCAATTTATAGCTCTAGTACTATAGCCCGCTGACATTGACTGCCGCTGGGGTGGCTATAGTACTAGAGCTATCCAATTTATAGCTCTGCACTGCGGTCACATTGCCAACAACGACAACAACAATTTCATTTGCTCTCTACATCTATTACTATACTAATATTCACTGATTTTACAATTACTGACGCACACAGTAGTCCGTACACTGTCAGGCCAGTACGCTGCAGTGTTGGTGTGTTTACTCTTACTCAGGTTACTGTTATACTGACAGTATTATTATTAGTCAAACATTTACTAATAGTACATTATACTATTACTAGCAAATACCCATGCTCCGCACGGAGTTGAATGTTTGGCCAAAGTCGACTGTGGCATATTGTAAACCAGTAAATATTTGCGGCTATTTTTTTGCGGTTCTGGTAAAATTTCCTAAAAGATCTAAATTTTACCCTTTTTAAATTTGCGGACATGAAGATATCCCTTCAGTTTACTCCATAAAAACAGCCAAATTTAAACAGCCAGGTAAAATAAAGACATTCCTTCAGTTTACTCCATAAAAACAGCAAAATTTAAACAGGGTTACAGTAGTAGTAGATTGATATTAGAAGTTGGGTCGGTTATGGGGTGGTGCTACCTTAGTTGTTTAAAAGATTTCCTTGTAGACGACATTTTGCGTGAGGGTCCTGTTGTTGAAAAGGCCTTGTGATGAATGTTTGTCCACTTTGATGTAGATGTTGGAGTAGCCGCTGGCACGTGAAAAGGCAACATATAGCTGGCCGTGGGAGAACACAGGGGCTGGGAGGTAGAGTCCGAGTTTGTCGAAAGTCTGGCCCTGGGACTTGTTTATAGTCATAGAGTAGGCAAGTCTGATTGGAAATTGAATCCTCTGTAGTGTGAAGGGAAGGTTTGCGTCGGATGGGGCAAGTTTAACACGCGGCATGAGGACTCTTTGTGAGACATGGCTTCCAGTGAGGATTACGGCATCTAGAATATAGTCGTGGGGGTTCCTAATGTATAGTCTGGTGCCGTTGCAGAGTCCTTTAGTTATATCTAAGTTGCGTAATAGCATGATTATTACTCCTGGTTTTAAAATGAGGCGGTGTGGAGGCAGCAAATTTGCGATTCCCAAACCGTATAGCTATGGAAGAAAAATTGAGCAACGTGATTGGCTAGAAAATGTTTAGGACACGCCCACTATCG